GTCAAACTTTTACAAAGTTATTGCACCATTTATTCCTACCAACGGCATATGAGGGTTTCTGTTTCTCCACGTCTTTGATAACATGTGTTGCTATCTATCTGATTGTAGCCACCTTAGTAGGCATAGAGTGGTATCTTGTGGTTTTGATTTGATTTGGTTTTGATTTGGAATTTCCCTAATGGCTAACAGTATTGAACATCAATTCATGTACTTGTTGGCTGTTCATAAATCTTTTTTAGCAAAATGTTTATTCAGATTCTTTGCTTACTTTTTAATTGGGTTGTTTATCTTTCTGTATTGAATTATAAAAGTAGTTTATGTATTCTAGATACAAGTTCTTTATTAGATATATGATTGTCAATGTTTTCTATTCTGTGGCATGTTCTTTATTTTTAAGGGCATCATTTGAAGTGTAAAAATATTTTAGTTTTGATGAAGTTCATATTATCTATTGGTGTCATACCTAAGAAGACTTTGCCTAACCAATGGTCTTGGGAGAAGTAGAGGTGGAACACGTTGGAGTTGGAAATAAAAACCCTATGGTGAAATGGAGACAAGAGAAATGGGTAGAATGGGATTAGGTTTTGAGTAAGAAGAGACTTTTGTGTTTACTAAGAAGGATTCTGGGCTTCTGAATATAGTTTTAAGTCTTTATATGTTTAAATTGAATAAAGACACACACTTTACACGTTGTTCCTTTCTTTGCTTTTTCCCTATAATGTGTCTTTGAGATCCTTCTGTATTAGCTCATAGAGGTCTACTTCACTGTTAACACTCCTATAGTATTCCAGTGTTATGTTGCACCTTAAATTATCTGTCAGTCTCTATGATACTTTATAATAGGACCAAAATAAGGGTAAGAACCCACGCTTAGGTGAACATCCTCATTCTTGTACATGGGTGTGTTCAGCCCTCTTTGTGTGCATAATTAAAATAAATTCCCAGCAGTGGAATTGATGAGTTAAAGAATCAGTTCATTTAGATATTGGTAGGTATTGCTAAATACTTCCTGAAAGATTCCCACGATACACGTTTCCTTGGAACATGAGATGTATGAGAGTGTCTACTGGCCCCCCTTGTCTAGAAGCTGTTGCTGAGTATCACTGATATTTTAATTTTTACAAATCTGACAAGTTAAAAATGGTATTTTGTTTATTCATTGTATATGAATTGAAAGTGAGCATAGATTTCAAATATGTTTTGATCATTTTTTTTAATTGCTTGCTTGACTTTATCACATACAGAATTTGTTCATTTTAGTCAATTAAAGGCACCAGGGACAGTATTATTTTGTGAAGGAAATGAGGAGGAGGAGTTATGGTCTGCTTGCTCACTCCCTCCAGTTTGTAAAGTCCTTAAGACACAAAAATCTCTGTGTGTTCTCTTTAATTCTCCTTTTGATTTTATGAGGTTTTGTTTGTAAAGTGCTGTCATGCCTGACAACAGTAGTCAGTACTCGACTTCCTCCCTTTTCTTTCTCCACATTGTTTTTTCACTTTACACCAGCTTTTGTGGGAAGCAGCTCATCTGGTGTCTGGTGATGATGACTCCAGTGTTTCCTGCCCGTCCGGTGTGTGAGCCTTCCCACCAGGGCCTCGCAGTGCCTGACCTCTGAGTGGGGCCAGCCCAAGGCAGGCCACGGTCACTGGGAAGGCTAGCAATTTAGGTTCCCCTTCAAATCAATGTATTTTAAATATCTAGTTGTTACAAGAGGAGAAGAGCTTCGTGTAGGCAAAAAGAGGATTAATGGTCTGCAGACTTAGGCCAGATTTTGGTTCTCCTCTGACCACATGACTTCACTCAACACCACAAACCTGAACCACCCTCCAGACAAGGAAGTTACTTTCTGAAGTTTGTCCTAGGGTTTGATTCTCTGCCCAGGGTGGTCTGCTCAAGTCCCTTCCTGCCACACACAGTGTACTGATGAGACCATATCCCCCTCCAGCGTTCACTTGATGTTTGTTTAGTGTCCCTCAAGTTCGCCCTTCAGTCCAGTCTTAATGTCAACATGTGCGAAGTAAGGTGACTGAGTTTTGTTTAAACAAACCTATTTGAATTTGAGTTTTAGTGAGTGTTCCCGTCTCAAGGATTTAGTCCACACTTAAAATGGCCTAAACCAGCACTTGGAACACATTCCTTTTGAATGTTCTCAGTCAGCCTCCTGGGAGCGGCGGCTCCTGAATGGGAAGCTGTGGATTTGGTGCACCGTGGAGTGCTCTCACATCAGTTCTCACTGAGTTTCAGAGTCTTCATGGGCCCCTGAAAATTTATCTAAGGTCCCTTCCTAAATTACAATAATCGACATTGATTTTCATGTTTTGGTTCTGAGATTTTGTTTTAAGGCTTCTGCCCTAGAGTCAGACCTTGTATCTTAAATTTGGATTCCAGATGTTATTGGTGGATTTTGAGGTTAGGAAGAGGCCAGGCTGTATGTCTGTGCCAGACAAGAAGCCTGCTTAAATGTTGGCAGCTTTCTCACTTTACCGTTCAGGTATTTAGAAACCCATAAAGGGGACCTTCTGTAGCTAAAGAACAGAAATGATAGATTTAAAAGGAGCTTGCAGACAGTGTTTCACCAAAAAGTTAAAATCCCAGGGGAAAAAGTCACGCATGCCAGAATATAATGCCAAATTTGAAGTAATGCACATTGTTTCCCAAGTGGTTGCTGTTTTATATCTTCTAAAGTGAGATTGTCCGTGTGAAGGCAACTAGTCAGTAGGTCCTCAGTACATGTTAGCTGAATACTTTCTGAGTTTCAAATATTTTTTGTGATAATGGCATTTCCCCTCTTCTAAGGTTTTCAAGGTTTTTCATAAACTTGTTATTTTAACCCAGTATATTTTCACTATACTGGAGTACAAACCAGAATGTCAAATTGTTATCTCAGTCTTTAAATTTTTGGCACTTCACGCCTTTTCTTATAAAAGGAGGGAAGAATTTCTTTTCTGCAGGCAAATAGTCTATATCCTGAATAAGCATAAAAGACATCTGCTGTTTTAGAGCATCCATGGGCGAATCACACAACCTTTTAGATTTATGGGAGGCTGGTAATGGAAAGGAAGAGTTTCGTTCACAGCAGCAAATGTGAGAAGTGGAAATGTTGGTCTATTTTTGGATTTCTTCTGTGTTTGCTTTGAATTCATCTACTGATCTAATCTTTCTGTTCACCCAGCCACCGGGCACTGCTGTGCTGTCAGACTCATCAGACTCATTCCAGGGAGAGAGTTTCGCAGTGCCCTGGAGGAAGGTTTTCAGGGAATACAGGATTTTTGTGAAAATGGAAGGACGAATAGAAGTGGGTTAGTTACACAACAGTGTTTTCAGATTAAAAACAGGGACTGACAGCTGTGGCTAGAACTCTGCTGGAGGGTTGGGAACTGGAGCCTACTGAGAACGGGTGTTTCACTTCTCCCAAAAGGTTACCCATGGTGTGATACTTGAAGGTTAGGTTCTGCTTTAAGGCAGCACGTAGGTCTGTGGGGTCAGTTGGGACTTACCAATTTAGACTGTAAATGAAAAATAGTTGACTCAAACATACCTTTTTGAGTTACGTGATTAATTTGTTTTCTTGTTCTACGTCTCACGACTCCCAAAACCGGTTTCAGTCAATGAGCAATCCTCTCCCACCACTCCCTCCCGCCCCATCAGTGCCTTCTGCTGGTGACTGAAGATGTAGACCAAGGTGGGGTCCGCAGTGATGAGGTTAGGACTGGGCGAGCTCTCTTACCGGGCACCTGGCCTGAGCTGGCAGAGGAATGCTGGGGTTGGGTGTCTTCTTGGTGGAGCTTCTCTACTGTCTGCTCAGGAGGGGACTGAGTTCAGATGAGGGGCGTGTGTTTTCCTTCCCCATGCCGCCGTGGTAGGTGGCACGCTTTTTGATACAGAAGGTAAAATCCTTTAGTCCTTAGAGCTGTAACGTGGAAGCCACTGACCAATTCCAGTCATAAAGGGGTTATGTAAAAAGATGTGTGAGTACTTTCCAGAACTATTCCAGTGATAACTCATCTTTTTGATCCTGGATTTGGATCAGGAAGTAGGATTAGAGGTTCATCTCTGAGTTTCCTTTAAAATGATAATAACCAGCTTATTTGGTTTTTGCTGCTACGTTATTGTTATTTCAAGTATGTAAGTCAGGAAAGCACTATCTTAGTTTGTGCTTTAAAGAAATAACTTCATTACACCTTCCCAATTAAAGCTGTCCTGATAAGACCCCAAGTAAAAAAGAATCTTCATTTTTTTTACAAGTGATGTGAGAGAATTCCTGGCCCAATTTAGAGAATGCTTCTAAAGAAAAAATAACTTTATTGTTTTATGATTTCTGCCTTAATGACATAAGGGCTATTTGTTTTTAAAGCCATTTCTATATCTGCTTTTTCAAATTAGTTTTTTTTTTTTTTTTAATTTGGGTCTTTTAGTTTTTAAGTCTACAGAGAAGTTTTTCTGAGTTGTCCATGTGGGTTCTCCATTTACTTTTGAAATAGATTGATTATTAAAATGCAGTTCTGGGAAAGAGGGAGCACTTGTTTGTAGCATCCAAAAATTAAAATCTGCTTGCTGTGAAATTCGGACCCTGAAACTGTCCAGCAGCGCCTGGGGGCTGTGCCGATGCCAGGCTGACCCCCGTACCTCAGCGGTCAGTGTCTAAAGTTTCTTCCAGACCAGTCGTGTTAACTTATAGAAGTCTAACATCACATCAGCATGCTTTGCAGTGTACCCATAATCTATTTAGCCTTTTCCTAAGTAGCTCTGTTATTATTATTTGTATAACTTGGAGAGTTAAGTACACATATTCAGTTTGGAATGGGGAGATTCATTTTCGGGTGTATTACTGGCTCTTCCTTTTGAGGCTACGCTGCCATACTTGCCTAACCTTAAAGATGCTCAAGAAAAGCAAGGAGGGAAGAGCCTACTATTTGTCTGTGTGGGTTCAGCAAGCAAAGAATGTTTACCGATGCCAACAAGATAATTCTTTAATAGATGACTTGTGTGTTTTATTTTAGACTCACAAGAAGCTGATGAACAGCTGATAGCAGAAGTGGTTGAAAAATGTTCACCTGAGACTTGTTCTAGACCCTCAGAAAATGAAGTATCACAGCAAGCTATCGATTCTTACTCAGTCAAGGATTTCAAAGAAGAACCTGAACATGATATTAGCAAAATTTCAGTAGTGAGGCCATTTTCCATAGAAATCAAGAACTCCACGGAAGCCCCGGCAGCTCTCGGAACGGAAGCGGTGTATGGCTGTGTGACAGCTATCCCGGGCCAGGCCCTGCCCTCCGGCCCTCCAGAAGCCATTCAGGACGAGGCGATGACAGAAAGCACCATGGGGGTTACGACGGAGGCTTCCACCGAAGCCGATCTGAAGAGCGGGAGGTCCTGTCTGGAGCCAGTGCCCAGCAGAAGCAAGCTAAGAAAGCCCAAGCCCATCTCTTTGAGGAAGAAAACAGCCGGCGAGTTCTCAGAAAATGAAACTTCTGTGGGGGGCATGCCTCTCCCCCAGACGTCCTATGCTGATGAAATGAATGGGAACACAAATCCTTTGCTAGAAGATGCCAGGATCCCAAAATCTGCCCCTGACGTTCAGGAAACATCAAGCAGCACTCCCAGTAGCGACACCAATGATTCGGGGGTTGAGCTGCTGGAGGAGTCGAGGAGCTCACCTCTGAAGCTCGAGTTTGATTTCACAGAAGATGTGGAAAATGTAGAGTCCAGGAGAGGCCTCCCAAGAAAACTTGGCAGGAAACTGGGTAACAAACTGACTCCCAAGGTACAGAAAGATGGCGTCAGTAAGCCAGTAGGCGCCAAAAGTGCAGAACCGCCTCCGGAGCCGGCTGCAGGCGACACTCCTGTCTCCCGGGCGTCTTCTAAGCTTGATCCTAGTCAGTGGGATTGCCCCGGCACCAGCCCCTCTGGGGGCCAGTCCGCACTGCAGAGCTCCCCTCCCCTCTCCTCCAAGGGCTCCTACCACTTGGATGAATCCTTGGATCCCTTTAAACCAACTACAGCTTTAACAAACAGTGACTTTTGTTCTCCTGCTGGTAATCATGTTAATGAAATCTTAGACTCACCCAAGAAGGCAAAGTCGCGTTTAATAACGTGAGTGGTGACGGGTGTGGGGGTTGTGTTTTGTGTACACGCTAAACGTTGGACAGCCGGCTTCTCGGGGGTTTGGAACTGAAGTCGCCTTTGAGGTGCAGTTGGGCAGACACAAAGCTTACAGCTTTACATGGCAGTCTCCACTATTTTGAAGCAAACTCTTGTGTGGAATCTCAAGTACTAGAGATTTCCTTTTTAGGTGTCTGCCTGGTTTTGGAATCCTCAGCCTATTCAGCTGAGCTCTTTCCCACCCCATGCCCCCTCACCATTCACCTTGGGTACTTTTTTCCTGTTTTTGTTTTTGTTTTTGTTTTTTAAATGGCACAGGATAGGCAGGTAGAGATTTGATGGTTTTCAGAAATTCTGTCTGGGCTGTCAGGAATCGTTTTATATAGAATTCAGGGGTCATATTAGCCACCATCTCCTTATGGATAAAACAAAAAAATTCCAAGCCTACAGCTTACCTGCCATGTAGCAAGAACTTGTAGGAAATGGTCCAAAAGGGTCTTAAAGAAGTTTTTCACTTAAAACAGAAAGCTGTGATTTTTGTTGAAAACAGACCACTAAAAGTTGGTGAGAATTCTTACATCTTTATGGTTTAGCTTCTGGTTCCATCAGCAAGGAGGTGAATTGCCAATGAGGATCAAGAATACTTTAAAGGGTGACATAAATCTGACTAAATTAGTCTTTTGTTGTGTGGTGTGGCACCTCCTCCAACCCCACTCCTGGCCCCAGGAAATCTGGAGCCACTTTTGCAAGGTTCTTGGGGTTCTCACAGTGATGACCTGAGGCTACAGTCCACGTGAAGTTTTAGCTTAAATTTGTTACAGGGTTACCTCATCCCAAAACTTGAGTGATGGCAATATACCCCTTTGTGACATTTTGCTAAAAATTAAATATAGAGAAAGGACAGTGACCAAGAGGGTAAAATATGAAAAGGGAGGATGAAAAGAAATACCATAGTTTTAGTTGTCACCATAGATCAGTATGGAAATAATTTTTAACATTACTAATGGCTTCAAGAAAAATGCTGGATGGCTTGGTGAATTACACAAAAGGGAAAGGTGTAAAGAGCTGAAGGTATCGATCAGGACCAAGACACCTGAGCAATGTAGGAATCAGGCCCTCAGCAACTTCAGAGTGTCTCGGGGAACAAAACGGCTTTGGCAGTTGCTGATCTGTTCTTTGATTATGTATGAGCAGTTAGATGGTTGCTGAAGAATATGACTGATCAGATGTCCTCACAGTGCTCTTCGGGGGCTAAGGTTAGTTACCGTTGTCTAAGGCAGGGCCTAGGGTCATTGCCTTGGTGCTTCCTGCTGTGGGGTGGCCTATATATGGGGTGCTTCTGCCCAGCAAGTCTGGAGCCCCCCTTTCAGTTACATGTTGAAGGCCTGTGGCCAGTGCCTTCCTGGGAGATAATAAATCTGGGCTGAAGGGGGGAAATGTATCCCACATCTTATTTTCAGTAGCAGGAAGCACCCTCTCTTGAGTCCTACTACCCTCACCTTGGTAGCATTTTCCTCATGTTTTTGGTGAATGAACTTCTTGATCTAATATACCTTACAATTTTTTTTTTTTTTTAACTCCGTGCAATCAACACTCTTGTCTCTGAGAAGGGTGCTTGACCTCTGTGGAACTCTGAGATTTTGTTTAGCAAACCCCTTCATTGGTAGGAAAGACTGAAAATATATGTGTGATGGTAGAATCTAGTTGGGAGTTAGAAGTTCTGTTAGGTTACTTGTGTGACTTTTTTAAAGATGTATATAGTTTGTGTCTCAGATTCTTCTGTAAAATGGAGACATTGTACTATGATTGGGATTTTTGTGGACCAAATAAGATAAATTATGTAAAATCATTTTCGGTGTTTTAGTGACACATACCCACAGTAGATATAAGCAGATACACTTCCAGCTACATTTTTATTTATACATTGTCTTAGTCTGGACCACTATAGACATTTAAGAGTAAACGTGTTCAGCAGTGAAATGTTGTTTCCTTTTTCATCTGTAAGTGTGACTATATGGCATTTCTGAATGTTTCTACTGCTCTTACTCATTAGACTTGAGGGCCCTGGTAATCATCCACACTCACCAGTGGTAACATTCACCAGTATGACTTTTTTAATTTGTATCTCACTTCATAGAAAGAACGTTGCAGCCTTTACATCTGCCAGACTAGGGATAAATATTCAGGCTTTACATGATTTTTTTCTCCATCTGTCTGTCTCTTCCCTGTCTCTACTTTTGTTGGTGCTTCAGGACTACTGAACAAGTGAAATTTCTCTGTTTTCTGTTGTAAGTACTCCTGCTGTCATTTCTGTTTGTCCCTGGGACTCTTGGCACTTCCTCTCCCACCCTCCCAGACCATCTCTCCATTGCATGTTGGCTTCCGTTTCTGAGTTTGACCTTCTGATTATTTTTTGCATTTCATTTGCCACTTCGTGAGTCAGCTTAGCCTTGCAGTTGTCTGTACCCAGTGGCACGGAGGTGGGCCTTCCTGCCTCAGGTGCAAGAGCTTACACTCCCCGCCCCGGCACGCCTTGCGTGGCGCTTTGATACCGGACGCTGGCTTGGCTCCATTCCAGCAGTGGTTTCAGGGACTGCTCTGCTATTTAATGCTGGAAATAATTGGCTTTTTTTTTTTTTTTTTTTTTTTTTTGATAGGATAAGGCTGCTGGGCTGGAGTAGGGGGTAAAATGGAGACATCATACCGTTTGGGGTTTTTGTGGACCAACTTGAGTTTGGTGTCGGGGGGTGGCATGGAAGTTTCAGGAAAGAAAAATCACGAGCCAGATAGTGGTTGTGCATATTTTGGTAACATATATGCTTGCCTTTTTTCGTTGGTTTGTTTCCTCACACAAGAAGAAAAAGTTGCAAGTTATTATTATTACTATTATATTTTGTTAGGGTAACATTACTGAAGTTTTTAAGTTCATTCAAACAAAATTTGAACTAGTCTTTGGATCGCAAATTATGCGCTCGTTTTAAAATAACACATGGTTTGAGTTTTCCCTAGTTCCAACCATGACATTTCTATCTTACTACTTAACAGGGATGGTAACAGTGTACACAGATGTTTTTCTTTTTATACTTTCTGTTGCACAGTTCAACTTTGTTAGCACACAGGTCTGGAGCTATCTTATCAGACTTCTATGGCTTTTAGTGCAATAAAGAATTTTTAAAGAATCTGGTCGAGCGTGGTAATTTTTCTAATGACTATCTAAGCCTGAGTGAGTGAGGATCAGATGAACTGAATGTCTCTAGGTGCTGAGGCTGCTCCATGAAAGGCTTTTGATGGTGTGCAATTAAAAACTAGCAATGGTAGTACTGGCGTGTAACATCCCACAGATGCTCGCGAGGAGGTCTTTTCAGAGAATGAACTGAACTATAGTTCTTTGCTTGCCCTGTCCCATGAGAAAAAAATGCAGAGACATAAATGGTGTTCCTGTCTCTTAACATGCAGATGTATGACTTGTGTGGTGCTGTATGCCTTGGCTTCTAGCTGCTCACACTGCTATCTCTGCTCCATCTCATAGCTAGGAAGTGGTCAGTGAGACTCCAAACCAGCCTGGTTGTTTTTTTCTTCTTCTTCCAGGAGTGGCTGTAAGGTGAAGAAATATGAAACACAGTCTCTTGCTTTGGATGGATGTTCGCAGGTACGTCTGTCTATCACCAGCACGTCTCTTAAACCAGAGGTGCTCAAACTGGCAATTGCATCCCCAGCCCAGGGTGAGGGGCGATGGTTAATGAAGACTTCCCGCTGGGTATTGGAGTACTCAGCTTTAAGAAAACCAGCTTCCTAAACTAATCAGAAGAGGCCCTTCAGGACAAAGGAACCCCTTCACAATTACTGCCCCCCAGCTTTTTAAAGTTCCTTCTCACCTATTCTAAGTTTTACTAAGGTGCATTTGGACTGGGTGTGAAATCTCTAGGGCAACAAACAAAGGGGAGATTGTTAACTGTCGATGTAGGTTTTAAGGAGATGATTGGCTCCAGTGACTGGATAATGTTTGTTTTAAAGTCAGATGGTTTTCCAGCTCATCACTTTCAACAAAGTAGGAGTACCGGAGTCCACGGAAGTAGACTGGAAGTACAGAGTCAGAGAGGAAAAGGAATGATGTTAATGTCTGACTTAAAAGAGGCCGTTCATGTCAGATTCTAAATATCTTGTAGGGTATCAAATCATTAGAATAACTACATTGAATTAAGCAAAGTCAGTCCTTAAACTATACCAGATATTACATCCTTTGCAATTTTTTAAACTTATGCTGAAAAGTTTTTAGATGTCCCCTGAAAATACAGTGGAGTGCGTGTGTGTGTGTGTGTGTGTGTGTGTATTTAAATTAGGAGGTATATGAGCAAAATATTTGGAAACCACTCCCTTGGGCTACTTAAATTTCTTGCTTTTGAATTTAGGCTAGAAAAGGTTAACTTGTCGAGCCTCAGATCTGAATCACAAAAGCTAGGTTCTAGAAAATAAAACATTTTGCTATGGAGAGACTCCAGCTTCTTCCTTGATTTGTACTGAGACCTGTGGTTGGCTCTTATTAAATATCGATATGGAATAGTGGCTGCTCTGAGGTGTCCCCACACGCCCACCCCGGTTTGTCCTCCTAAACAGTGGCCTCTTCTCTGTGTTGCATCTCCCAGGATGAAGGAGCAGTGATCTCCCAGATTTCAGACATTTCTAATAGGGATGGCCATGCTACCGATGAGGAGAAACTAGCATCCACTTCATCTGGTCAGAAATCAGCCGGGGCCGAGGTGAAAGGTGAGCCAGAGGAAGACCTGGAGTACTTTGAATGTTCCAATGTTCCTGTGTCTACCATAAATCATGCGTTTTCATCCTCAGAAGCAGGTATGGAAGCATATCTTCATGTTTCTAATGTACATAAGCATAGAAATGCCTGAAAGCCTAAAGATGGAGACGCCTTAGAGAGATTTGAGAATTGGATCACCTAAAGGATGGATTTAGGATGCTGCTCTATGCTTTGCCGCTTTACCTAGAAAGGAGATGCAAAAGGGTGTCGTATCAAACACCAGGGACTTACACCTAAGTCTGGCAGGATATATAGGAGACACTATTGTGTGGGACTGCTTGAAATTTATTATTTATTTTAATGCAGCCACATCTCGATGTGTAGTGGCCTGTAACCATGTTGTGATTATTGTGCTCCTTGTTCAACTTATGGAAATAATAACTAACACGTATAATTCCTTACCATGTGCAAGCATTGCTCTCAGTGCTTTACGTGTATCAACTCATTACTCCTTGTTAGGGATTATTTTGCCCCATTTTCCAGAGAAGGAAAGTGAGACACAGAGGTTAAGTAACTCAGCCAAGGTCACTTGTAAATCGCTAGTAAATGGTAGAACTAGGATTCGGACCTCAGCGGTCTGGTTCCATGATCTTTTAACCACAATGCTACAGTGTGGAAAGATTTTTTCTATTACATTAGACTATTAAAAATGTTCCTGCTCAGAAATGTGGTAGACTGAAATTGACCAGTGCCCTATAAAATCCTTCTTAATGTTCAAATAAGAATGTAGATTGACAAACCTGTGCTGAAGTTTCTTGCTGTTGGACTCTCAGAACATTCTAGAGCTGAGGCCATCTTTCTAGGTCCCCAGTTATATCTGTGGTCTTAAACTTGACTTGTGAAATACTTGGAACTCTGTTCCTGACTACATTAAGCATTATTAAAAACTCAGATCTTCTGCAATGTAATTTAATTTGGGGCTTTTATACTTAGAATTTAAGAAATCATGACCAGTCATTACACCAGGGACACAGGTGGAGATTGGGCCTTTGTGAGAGGGATGCCCCCGCCCCTGTCTCCTCCGCGTCCCCAGGCATCAGTGTTTTGTCTATAAAATCAATGTGCCGGACACTGTTCCAGATTTCTTCCCAGGCCTCTTTCTGCTCTGACTTCTTTTCCCAGATCTCATTTACCATTTTCCTTGATAGCCTCTTACCCAGGTATGCGGGCTACACTTACTTCTTTTATTACTTTCTTTGCTGCCTCCTTTACAAATCCTGCCCATCCTTTTGGGGATAATTCCCACCGTGCTTTATGCTCCCAACACATTTCTTCTTTCTGTTCTGTTTTGTGTTACTTACTGCAGAGGGGATCTGTGATAAACTTCTCAAGGTTAAGGACTCTGAGTGATTTGTCTTTGAATTTCCTTGGGTGTAGGTGCATTGTAGATATTTGTTGAATTCCATCCTTCCTCGCTCGGAGGAAATTCCTTCAGTGGAAATGCACAGAGCTGGGGCTCTGTTAGATGGTGTGTCATTTGCGTTACTGATTAGTTGTATCAAGGGAGTGAGCAGAGGCTGTGGTCATGCAGGCGGGGGTGTGGAGTGGACGCGTGTACTGGCGCTGTCAAGGGCATCGGAGACATTTACCGGGGAGAGTCACTTTGAGCTATAGGTCTTGAGAGATACAGGCAGAGATATGGACCAGAAAATGAGAAACTCTGGCAGGAGTGGGACGGAGCCTACCGTGGGGGGAGAAATGCCCAGTGGGTCTCTGTGAGCACAGGGTATGTGGGAAAATGAAGGGCTATTGAGGAACTGGGCTAGATCCTATACGTGTAGGGGAGCCACTGAAGGTTTTTTTAAGCAGAGTGGTGATAGTCACATTTCTGTTTTAAAAATAATTCATTGTTGACAGATAGTATGCTAAAATAGTAGTTCGTTATGGCTTTGTGGGAGATTGTAATCTTTAAAATTTTGTGTGCTTTTCCATGTTTTAAAGTTGTCTTCAGAGAGCATATTCCTTTAATTAGAAAAAGCGTAGTGTTGGGTGTTTTTTCTTTTTTTAATGTTGCCTCTGGTGGTAGAGTGGGAGGTAGAAAATGAATTTAGTTTTGTGAGCATTGCATTTTGGAGCTTATTGTTTTATCTGCTACAGCTACACTAATCAGGGTGACTGTACCCTTTTAGGCTGGAGTTTAAATTCACTAAGGTTTGGTAATAGCATTCGGTGTTTGGTTTCTGTTCTGAAATTATACCATTGTTAGTACATGGACACAAGGGGGCAGCCTTGCTTTCTTTCCACCTGAATATTGTGCATTCTTTGGTGGCTAACTCTGCACCCCCCCCTTCTTCTGAGTATTTTGGACTTTTACCGTGAACGACACGGTGGTCAGCAGAAAGCCAGTGCTCCTTTGAAAATCGTGACATGCGGTTCATGTGTTCCTAGATGTCATTCTGGGCTGTGCAGGGGTTTCCAAGTGTCTTTCACTAGGAGGGGAAGGAACTGACTTTGGGGGATAACTACAGAAATGACTCTCTGTGTTTTAGGCATAGAAAAAGAAGCGTGCCAGAAGATGGATAAGGATGGATCCGCTGTGCCCGTAAGTTCCTCACTGTTGACGGGGCGGGCATGTGGAGCTCAGTCTTTTTCAGCATTTGTTTTGAAGCCCATGTTAAATCTTTTTAAAAATTCTAGTCCGTGTTTGGTAATGGGGACGAAATATAAATAAAGCACAGCTCCTTCCCTCGAGGGTCTCATAGTCTCTCTGAGGATTTCCAGCCAGCACCCCTAGCGGCATGTGCTCCTTTGCACGTGAACTGTGGGTGGTCTGAACTGAGATGTTCTATAAGTATAAAACACAACGAGTATTTGACAACTTAGTGCAAAAAGAAGGGAAATAAAATGTCTTTAACTATATATTGATTACATGTCAAGATGATAATGTTTTGGATATATTGGGTTAACTAAACTATATTATTAATCTCAGCTGCATCTTTCTACTTTTTAAATGTGGCTACAGAGGATTTTTTAATTGCATGGCTTGCATTATGTTTCTTTTGAATGGCACTGGCGGTGGGTACAGAGCGGACACCAACATACCTGTGGTGAACGTTAGCAGAGTAGAATGTTCCCGGGCCTGTGGGGGCCAGGGCTACCAGCTGCACGGCAGGTGTCCGCACGGCTGAATCTGAGCTAATGAGAAACAAAAATTGTTCAAAAACGTTTAGACTCGCAAAAGTAGTATAAAGAATAACGGTAGATCTTTCACCCACACTCAAATGTTCACAATTTATACACTCAGCACAGTTATCAAAATCAGCGAACACGGCTACAGTATTATCTAATCCATAAACCATCTGCACATTTTATCAGTTGTCCCAGTCATGTCTTGCTGTGGTGCAGGATCCTACACTGCCTTCAGTTCTCATGCCCTTGGTCTCCTTTAGTCTGTCACAACTGCACAGTCTTTCTTTGTCTTTCCCGACCTTCACGCTTTTGAAGAGACTGCTCAGCTGTTTTGTAGAACGTTGTCCGGACTCACTGTTGGGCGGCGACCCTGGTGTTTCCCTAGAGGAGACAGAATGAGCCAATGTGAAGGCGGGAGCGTTGTCCCCTCGCAGGGGCCTCACACATTAGTGACATTTGTTTCTGGACAGAATCACTTTTGCTTGGACACTCATTTGATCCTCACCATTTTGGGCGCTAGGCCATCTGAGTCTAGTGCTGCCACTCGCGGGCTTACCTGGGTTTCCTCACCTGTGAGGGAGAGGGATGCCTTCCTTCCCCACCGACGAGGGGATGCGATTCCATACTGCACCACAAGAGCAGCCTGGTTTGCACTTGGGGAAGCCAGTTCCTTTTCACGTTTTCCAAGTGCTATGGGGATGCTTTGGGATTTTTTCAGAGAAAAAAAGTAACAAAAGGATGATTAAAGAAGGATGGATTGAGTGGACCAAGCATCGGTGTGTGTGGCTGCAGATTCAGGTGGTTAACCCCATTCTTGAAACGAACTGGTTAAACTGCCGGGTTCCCAACTTACTCATCCATGCTACAATACTAGCAGCACCTGTCTGCTCGTCAGAGTGCTGAAAGGATAGCATGAAAGATTGAAGCTGTAAAGTGCGAGGCTAATATGAGGTGGTGTGATGTTGATAGAAGAAGGGTGGGAAAGAGGGTGAGGAAGAAAAGTGGAGAACGCTTGTCTCTAGAGCCAGGTGGCGAAGAACATACTGCATGTTGTGATCTTTTAAAAGGAACCCCCATTGAACTTCTTGAATAAATCTCTGTTTCCTTAGAATGTTGAATAAGTGTTGCATAAAGAAATTGCAGTATTCAAAACATTGAATAAAGAAATCTGTTCAATCTAGCATTTACTTTTAAAAGCCTCTTGGAAATCCAAGATGACGCAGGAGCAAAGGGGAGGCCACACTGACTTCCTCCCAGGACCAGTCTGGAGTTACCGCCTCTCGGGGTTGCTTTGGAGCGCATTCCTTTTGAGACCTCATGCCCAGCATGGGTGGTGGCCAGGGTAGAATAACTAAGGCCAGAGTGCAGGCGAGTGGGGGGCGCTAATCCTCTCATCTTGCTTCTCGGCTGCTGTTCTGCAGTGTCTTTCCCTTAGGAGTCTATTTTGTAACGAGGTCATAAACTTGTTAAAAGTGGAGTTTGTTTGGCTTTTCCAAGCATGGCTCTCTGTTAGAGAAGTGGCAGGGATGGCCCTGTCCCCGGGCGTCAGGCACAGGTGATGGGGTGAGCACACTCAGTATGCTGTGACAGATACGCTGACTCTCCCACTGCAGGGACATGAGCAGGAATTACTTGGTGGCATCAGTGCTCACTATAAACTTGTAACCAGGACTCCATGGACTTCCACTCTCTGTAGAGAGGCCTCTGTTGGTTCTCAGTTGTGAATGCTTTGTGGGACCAGGAGAAGTATTAGGGGACATGAAACAGGACCCTTTTGGAAGGACATGATAGATTGATTTAGCATCTTTATTAAACACATGTGAGATTGCCTAGCCCAGGAAGAGATCATCAGGCTAGTGCTTTGTGAAGGCACATTCTGTAGGCTTTTCACACTTTAGATAAACAATATAAAGGGCCGAGCAATGTAAAAATTTAAGTCCTAGGGGACTGGAAAAGGTGGCTGAAATAGGCCATGGCATTAATTCCTGCCTTATCTCGTGGGAACTCTTGCCTTTTGAGCCATGGGGTTCCTGCATGGTCGCCAGGCAGAGGGGCACGACCCAGGGGAGAGCGACAGGCTGCAGAGGGCACTCGTCGGGAAGTGTTTGCCGCCCTCGGAGGTCTGACCTTGTACCTCCAACTCAGAACACTGCCTCCTCCAGACGCCACGTTTGTTAGCCTGAGTGGTCGTTAGACAAGCAGTCAGACTGAATGTGTTCATCCCCTCAACACAAGAGTGAGATGCTGAACGCCAGAGCCGGTGCTGTTATGTTCCTTACTGTGAAAACTTGGCTTATTTGCCAAATTCTTGCTAATGTGAGGGTCATAGGGGGCACAGGCGGGGGTTGGTTCCTAGAGTTGAATGGAGCTGGGGATTCCGGCTTAGAATAATAAACATTCACAAAAGACAGACTTTAAAATGTATTCATTTAGAATTGGAAATGTAGCAGCAAGGTGAAACACATATGTTAGTTTAGTGCATTATCTCCCTGTAGGCAAGTTACATGGGAAGCAAGATTATGAGAAAGCCTCTTGATGATAAACACGGCACAGGAAGTTAATGGACTGGTCAGATGTCCAGGGGTGATCAGTTGTCCACACAGACATTTATTATGCCATCATTTCTGGGTCAGGAACCCTAGACAGCTTTGCTGGGTGCCTCTGACTTACAGTCTCTCATAGGCTACCGTCAGCGTCCTGAGCAGGGCTGCGGTCACCTCCAGGCTCACTCAGGCGGCTTTTGGCACAACTCAGGTCCTCACTAGCTGTTGACAGAGCCATCGGTCACAGGGACCTTTCTGTGGAGCTTTTCACCATGAGGAAGCCTGAGCCTTTTTATAACTCATCTCAGAAGTGACAGCCCATGACTTTTACTATATTCTGTCCTTTAGAGTGAGTCCTCAGGGGCAGCCTGCCCGTGAGGGAAAGCGATTGCACGAGAGGATTAGTACCAGGAGACAGGGCTCACTGGGGCCATGAGAGGTTTCCCACCGCGAGTGGCTTCTGGCTGTAGTGACAGACCTGCCCCAAGAGAGAGCGTGTTTCTGAGGGGACCTTGGACTTGGGTCTGCATAGTGGGCTGCCTTACCCCCTGCACAAAGCCGCTGCGTTTCCCTTTCTGTGGCCTAGGCCCAGAGCTTCTGTGCTGGGTGAGGTCTCTGAAGCTGTATGCAAAATTGTGTGGTTTTTTTTAGTATTTTCTAGAGAGAGGGTGAATCTATAAAGACACTGAAAAGTTTAAAAACCATTGGTCTAAGTGAACCTTGGCCTCTATGATCACTCTTGGTTCAAACACGATATGATAGAACTGATTGATTATGATCCATAATTAATTGATCAGCTATACTGACATTTAAGATTATTCCTAGGTCCCTTTACCTGGCATTTTGGATGGTATTTGGGGAGCTTTTTTCCTCACTTATACAAAAAGTTTACTTGTATAGGTAAGGGGGAAATAGCCCCCAAAAGTGCTTTCTAGGAAAGAAAATAGTACATCTATAATCTTGTGAAAAATAGAATGCTATCCAAATGTGGCTCTCCAGAACCTGAGTTCATGATAAAAGCAAACTGTGCATCAGAAAGTGAAGTGCTGCCACAGGGAACTGAAAATTTAACAGCAAGGAAGAACCGAAAATGGGAGTGTGAGCATGGATGTTGACTTCCTTGTAGCCACTTTGTCAGAAACAAATAACGGTGTACACCTGACAGTGTTGCTGAGCTACCGCGCCCATCACCGCAGAGCTTTGCAAGTTCCTATGATCCTGAAATGTCTGGGGCTAGGGGTGGGTCAGATACAGTCAACGTTTCTGCTTTTTTAGGCCTGAAAATTAGTAATGTATTTTAGAAACATTCCATCCAAAGTGACTACATAGACACAAAAAATATCACTATGTAAAAAATAAAAAAATTTACTTTTTGTAAATTTATTTATATGGAATCCATCATCCCCAGAAACCCCTTGAAATATGAGCCATAAACCATGTATAGTTTTCTATTTTTTGCATGTAATTCTTTGGTGACTGACCGTTATGATAATTATACTTTCTTTTTCTGGAAAAGAAAACTTCTCTAGGCTGTCTGTTAAACAAGCTAAGACACCTTTGATAATCATTAGAACAAAGTTTTTCCTTTACATAGCACTGTAACTAGATTCCATTTTATTTTTTTAATCCTGCTGGAGTTGTTTTTTTTTTTTTTCCTTCAAACGTGTTTTTAAAGATCGTGATCAATGTGGTAAGGAAGAAATTGATGAAATATATTGGGATGAAGAAGCTGCAGATTAAACAGATTAAATGTAACCTCTTCCCCTCCTCAGGGACTGTTGGAGGCCCCTGCGGAGAAGGCCCCCGTGTCTGTGGCCTGTGGCGGTGAGAGCCCCCTGGATGGCATCTGCCTCAGTGAATCAGATAAGACCGCTGTGCTCACCCTGATAAGAGAAGAGGTAAAGCCTTTCTCGTTCCACCCAACCTATCGCCCCGCTTCTTTGTAGATCCCGTGAGCCAGCAGGCAGATTCCATCTCTGTTGGCTTGAGTAACCCCTGGCTGGAAGTTCACATTTCCTGCAGCTTGTTTAGCTCCTATAAAGGGTTCCCTGCAGAACGCCACGTTGGTGCTGGGGTCCCAACATTGTGGTGTCCTGGGAAAAAAGCTGACACTCCGAAATATCCTTAAGAATTTTTTACTCTTCTTTATTTAGCCTTGAAATTTTAAATATCAAATTTTGCCATCTTTATCCACATATGTATCTAAATCGGTGCCTTCATGTTATAGCAGATATATGCTTATACATAAAAATTCCTTAAATTCTAGACTTGCAGTAATATAAAATTGTTTCCTACCTTTATCCATTCTTTAATTCAACTTTCAAATGCCTTTATCATTTTTCTTGAACAACCTCTGTTCAAAATAGATCACTGCTGGGCCTTTCGTTGGTGATCTGAAAAATATGAAAGACACTTAGTATACTAGTATCAATCACCACCCTCTCCAGTTACATTTCTGCACTATATTTTATGTATTCGGTTTGTGAATTACTCGGTGACTCCACCTTTTTTTAAAGAAGGGGGAGCAGTTTTGTTTTTCTAATATGATGAGAATAGGTAAGTTCTCATCATATTAGAAAAGGAATTTTCCCAGGAGGTGTTCTATTCACTTTTACCCTAGTGGCTACATTCCCGGCATCCCACATGGCTAAGAATCTGTTTTTCCAAATGCTTTTGAACACTGTATAGATGTTGAGGTTTTATATTCCTAATGTAGACTGAATGTCTTGGGTGGACCCGGCTGTGTGCTGTTTTAGTCTCCAATCTTAAATTCAGACTGTAATAGATTGACTAGGTAAAGCCAAGCTTTCTCTCTATGCAATCCAGATAATCACTAAAGAGATTGAAGCAAATGAATGGAAGAAAAAATATGAAGAAACCCGACAAGAAGTCTTGGAGATGAGGTGAGATGGGAGGGTTGGGCTAAGGGCTGGATACCTTTATGTATTATTAAATTTAATACAGATGAAGTGATGAAAGTATTTGCTTACCACGGAGCCAGCTGTTGAGAACTTGGGCTGTGCTGTTTATGCCTTAATTTGTGATTGATAATACCATTTCACGAGCATTGCTGACTAGTTAATGTATTCAAATACTGTAGTTTATTTGGGGGTGTTCAGAACATTACAAGTGAGCAGAACTCACATAATTCTTATCTTTTGAAAAGACAGATTTGTGCAAAAATACCCATTTGAAATACAGAGTAATAAGATTTACTGACATTCAATTGTGGAGGCATTGTGATTCATAATACTTTTTAAAAACTAATTATACCTGGTAGCTTCAAATCTCATAAACACTAAATAGATTTTAAAAAGCATGTTAACAGGAAACAGAGTTGATTGACATTTTAAAATTGAATATTTTTTACTTTTGCTGCTCTCTCCCTAGAAAGCAGAGTTGGGAGTTGTACAATAACTAAAGATGGCATCAAAGAAGAGAGAAAAAGCGTACATACTTTGTATACTGTGCAATCAGTATTTGAATGATTAAGAAACATTTAAAATGTGTTCACTCTAATGTGTTCTCTTGCATTAGTTGCTTTTTTGAGCATTTACTGGGTATAAGGCCCCAGGCTGGGATGGTAGAGAGGAAGGGACAGCTCCTGCCCTTGGAGAGCTTTCAGGATCTGTTATTAGAATCTTGGTTGCAGGGTCGAAGCGATGGGCACTCCCAGTGAGGGCCGTTCTCACTGCGCGGCCGCAGGGAGGAGCCCCCGTCCCGGACAGGGTCGGGACAACGTCATTGCACTTCGCTAAAAGAAAAGTTAACACAACAGGGTTATCTTTAGAGTCTTTAAACACCTTTAAATACTTGAAATACTTTTGGGATTATGACAGTAAAATAAAACTTGCGAGTAAGAGGGGACAGATGCCTGAAAGGGTGGATTGGGGCCAGGAAAGCCTGAACTCAGATCGGACCTCAGGAAGCACCCCCAGTACGTCACTACGGTAGTCCCTGCTTACACACTGACAGGATGTTCCAGGCCCCCCCGTAGGTGCCTGAAACTTCAGGTAGTGCCGAGACCTACATTACTTTTTCATATACATACATATCCATGGTAAAGTTTAATTTATGTGTTAGACACAATAAGAGATTAACAACAATAACCTGTAATGAAGTAGAACAGTTATAACAATATACTGTAATAAAAGTTAGGTGAATGTGGTCTCTCAAAATATTGTATTGTTCTGTACTCACCTTTTCACTTGAAAGAAGCACTTTATGGCAGATCTGAATTGCCAGCATCACTACTCTTGCACTTTGGGGCTATTGTTAAGTAAAATAAGGGTGACTTGAACACAAGCACTGTGATACTGTGACAGTTGATCTGATAACCCAGATGGCTCCTAAGCGACTGATGGGCTGGTAGCGTGTACAGCGTGGACGTGACAGACAAAGATGACTCACATACCAGGCAGGACTGAGCAGGACGGTGTGGGATTTCATTTCACGATTCAGAATGGTGCGAAATTTAAAACTTAGGAATTGTTTACTTCTGGAATTTTCCATGTAATATTTTCAGACTGTGGTTGACTGCAGGTAACCAAAACTATGGAAAGCAAAACCGCAGATAATGGGGACTACTGTAACTTATTTTGTAAAGGTTGATTTGCTTAAGCAAACTCAGTCTATTGCCTTGAGGTCATTCACATAGGACAAAGGAAAAGTGAAGGCAGTTGTTTCTGTAAAAAGAATAGAGGCTTGTTAAACATAGAATCTTAAGAAGAATCTTTTTGAACATAAACAAATCTTGCATTGAGGTAAAAGAAAAGAAAGAGAAAGAGCCCAAAGCAGGTAAATGGGTTATGTCAACTTGTCAGTGTGCAAGGTGAGACAAAAGTAGGTTTACAGTTGTGAGGATGTGAGTTTATTCTTGTTTTATCACTTATTATTTTCCATACAAGCAACTGTAAATCTGCTTTTTCCCACCCTATGTTAGTGTGTTTAATTGGGGGAGCACTTCTCCAATTTCCATTGTCTAAAAACTTCGGATAATAACTTTTCTTATTTTTAAGGAAAATCGTGGCTGAATATGAAAAGACCATTGCCCAAATGATTGGTAAGGAATTTTTTTTTTTAAGCATGTGAATCATAGGATCTATAGATGATTTTAAAATTAGGGTACAAACTTGAATTTGTCCATCACTTAAATACAGTTGATTCTCATTATTCTCAGTAGTTATTTTGTATGAAGTTACTGCAAACACTGAACCATTGCTTCTAAGGAAATACAGTTTAGGTTTTAGACACGCCTGTGGCCACAACTTTTTTGTGAATGATTAGTCTTGTTTTATGTGTGTTTCTTTTGAAAGACATCTTATTTGATATATATTGTTGATTCATTAACACTGAATGGATGGCCAACGGTGCTATAGCTCATGTGTGAACAAAGCTTACTGAACATGCATTTCCCTATAAGGCAGGTCATGGCCTTCCTGCTCTTAGGAACACTAGACAGCACTCCAGCGCTACACTTGTGGGCCATTTTAAATAGCAAAATCCAACAGAAAGCACAAAAATGCAAAAAAAAAAAAAAAAGTGGGACTAAATAGACTGTGAAAAGGACCTTTGTTTGCAGTATGACGCGAGAACGCATCAGCTTGTTCACACTCAGCTGGGAACATGCATGTCAAGTGACTCAAATTTTTTGCTGTTCTGCGCATGACTGTGAATGACCAAGAACGCACCAGAAGTACTGATTTTGGGGTTACAAGTAAATTTTAGTAAGTAGGCAAGGTCACAAACGTCGACCCTGTGAGCGTTGAGGTCAGCTGGATTCATTTTAGCCCGGCCATCACTTGGCTTCGGTGAGGAGCCCTCCACTCAGCGTGCTGGCAGCCTAGGCACATAGTTCGTACCCCCGGGTGGGGCAGTGTCCTGACTCAGCTGTCAGCTGCACCTTCCCTGTGGGTGCCTTTTCAAAACTACAGTGGTGGATCCTTCTGCACTGAAGTTAGAACCTCTCCTCGCCAGTATTGTAAGGGCTGACTCCCGAAATCTGAGTCAGGTCATTCTGCACTTAAGCGCCGAAATGGTATTTTCTACTGTCCACATCACCTAATGCCTTCCCAGCGCATGGCTTTGGCCACAGCTGTTCTCTGCATGGAATATTCTTCTCCCAGGGACCTCCTGCCCTCAGTTCTTTTGGGTCTCAGTTCAGATCTCTCCTGAGTGAGGCCGCTCTATTATAAAAAAGGAACCCCACCCCTGTTGCCCTGCCTCGTTTTGTCCTATCACTTGCCCATCACCGCATCCCTCCCCGACCAGAGTGTAAGTCACTGAGAGTGGGAACTCGGTTTTGCCCACTGCTGGGTCCCACCACCGAGAACGCTGCTTAGGAGCTCAAGGAAGGCAGCAGCCGACCATGCTGACTGAACATGCCATTGCTTTTGATTGTGCTTCCCAGAAGATGAACAAAGGACAAGCATGACCTCTCAGAAAAGCTTCCAGCAACTGACCATGGAGAAGGAGCAGGCCCTGGCTGACCTTAATTCTGTGGAAAGGTCCCTTTCCGATCTCTTCAGGAGATACGAAAACCTGAAAGGTGTCCTGGAAGGGTTCAAGAAGGTAGTGTGTCCTTTCCTCCTGGAATCCCCTCACGCGTGTATTTTCTTGCTAGTGTATCTTCAGATATATATGCCAGAGGTGTGTGTGGGTAGCATTTCAAATAGGAATTTGGGGCCCCTGTTGGTCTGGAGGAATCTCCCCCCGCTTTTTCTTTCTGTGGTTGCTCAGGCACCTGGCCCAGTGGGTGGCATGTCTCAGTCGTTCCTGAGTCAGGCCAGCAAACCCACCGAACTGCCCCCGGAGTGTGGCATGGAGTGGAAGCACTGTGGAACCCGCAGACCGTAGGGGGAGTCTAGGAATGTTCGTTTTGATATAGTTCACCCATTTAATGTTAGTAAAAATAAAAGGGATTCTAGACATAGCACTGAAAAATTCAGGCTGCACACTCTAGAGAAAAGTAATGTTTCAAATGTAGATAAAAGGGCATATTGATTTAATTTCATTGCACACCATCAGTGAGACTCATTTATAACAGTGACCATTCTTTTCCTCCATATACAATAACAAACAGACTGGCCAATTTATCTATGGGAACCATATTGCCATTCAGATTTGAATAACTGCCTTCCTAAAGTAGGTGTACCAGCATAACCAAAACTTGCTGTATGATTTGAAAATTAATACCTGAAGAAATTATTTTTTTTTCAAGGCTTTTTAAAAAAAGATTGTATTTATTTATTTTAGAGAGATGGGAAGGGAGGGAGGGAGAGAAACATTGATGTGCAAGAGCTACATCAGTTGCTTGCCTCTAGCACACCCCCATCCGGGGGCCTGGCCTGCAACCCAGGTATGTGCCCTGACTGGGAATCGACCCAGCGACCTCCTGGTTTGCAGGCTGGCGCTCAATCCATTGAGCCACACCAGCCAGGGCTGAGGAAACTATTTAGAAGTTCTTTGGTAGATTTATGTAAAGGCATCTGAATTAATTGGGTTTTCTTGTTTTTGAAAAAATGACATAACACTAGCAGGAGAAAAACTAAATGACCTGTTTCTTTTCTTTTAAATTGTCGTTTTGGAATAGAATGAAGAAGCCTTGAAAAAATGTGCTCAGGATTACTTAGCCAGAGTTAAACAAGAGGAACAGCGCTATCAGGCTCTGAAAATCCACGCAGAAGAAAAACTAGACAAGTAAGAGCTTGCACATAAGAATTTTACTTTGTATGATGTGAGAAGCTTGATAGAGGCAAGAAAAAAATCACTGTTTTGCAACTCCAGATGGCATTTGTATGTGTGTTATTTACTTTTTTGAATGAATAGACTCTTCCCATGGTTCTAACATTAAAAAGATTAAAAAGATATACAGTATCTCCCTCTACTCAATCCCTCTTTCATTGGGTTCCCACCTCTTTTCTCACCTGGTAAAATGACTATTTTATCCTCCCAGATAGACTTTTATCCCCTTCTTTCACCTCCCCCCAGCTTTATTGAGACATAATTGACATAATTGTATAAGTTTAAGGTATACAGCATGTTGATTTGATATATTTATATATTGTACCATGATAGTATAGCCAATACCTCTGTCTCTTCACATATTACCATTTTTTAATGTGGTGAGAATCTCCTTTTTTATACAGGTGATACATACTTTGCTTTTCTCATTTAGCAGTATATTTTGGAGATCTTTTTATATCAATCCATGAAGAGCTTCCTTATTGTTTGTAACAGTCATGTGGCATTCTGTTGTTGGAATGTCTCCTCCCGTTTGGGCATTCAGGTTATTTAAAATCTTCTGCTACAAACAGTGCTATAATAAGTAACCTTTTACGATCATCATTAGGCATGCATGTGAATTATCTGTATGATATAAAAGGAGTTGCTGGGCGAAAGAATATATGAATATATAATTATGATGAGTATTATCAAATTGCCCTCCTTAGACTTTTATTAATTTATATTCCTATACAATGTATGAGAGTGTCATTTTTCCCTACAGCTTTGCCAACAAATCACATTTTTGGTTTTCTGCAAATCTAATAGATGAAAAATGGTATTTCAGTTGAGGTGATTGGGTTTTTTGTTATTGTTTTGTGGTTTTTTGGCAAGCAACAAAGCATTTATTTTATTCATTATAGTTTTAATTTATGTTTATCTTATGAGTGAAACAATACATTTTAACAGCTGTGTATACATAGACTTGCTTCACTATGAATAACTCTCTTCTTTACCTGGTGTTCTATTGTCAGTTTATTTACATGTTTAAGGATGACAACCCTTTGAGATATGAACTGTGAATAATTTTTTCAGCATATCATTTATCTTTTGACTTTACCTGTAGTGTTATTTGATATGCGGAAATTTATTTTGAAGTATTAAAATTTATCAGTTTTTTGTTTTTGTTTTTTTTTTACAGCTTCTAGATTCCCTGTCATAGTAAAAAAGATCTTCCCTGTGCTGAGTATAAAATACTCTCCAATGTTTTCCTTTAGTACTTTTATGGCTTAATTTTTTAAATTTAAATCCAACACATTTGGAATTTACCTGGGTAATGGTATGAAGGATGCATCCCACTTTATATTTTAACTACGAAGCAGTACTTGTACATTTTGCTGTCTGTCTATTTGTAAAACCTTTTACATTCCCCCTTTCCCAGTCTCACCGCCAGATCTATGATATGCTAAAGCGCATATCTTTCCAGTCTCTGTGCCTTTACAAGTGCTGCTGTAATGACTTCATTCTTTTCAAAAATTATAATGGAGTCATATGACACAAGTTCTCTTTTTCACGTAATCGTACATCATGGTCATTTTTTCATGTCAGAATATATAGCATAACCTAATCATTTTTATTACATGGTAGGCCTAGTCCCTTCCTCATTGTTGGGCATTTACTTAGTTTCACACTTGTTTCCATTGCACACAGCGCTGCAGGGAGCAGCCTGTGCATTGCGCCAAGCAGGACTGTTGCCGGGGATGCGTTACTGAACAGGAGCTGCTGGCTCCGCGCGGGTGCGTGTCTGGCTGCGGTGGTTGCTACCGCTTTGCCTTCCACCGAAGCGGCGCCAGCCTCCAGTCCCCCACGCAGTGCATGAGCCTGTTTCCTTGCATCTCATTTTTCCCAGCCTGACAAATTTTAAAAGTGTATCACTTTAATTTGCATGTCTCTGATTACTAGTGAGTTTTTAGCATCCTTTAATCAGTTCATTGGCCATGTACCAACTGGCATATATGGTTTTTTTGTTGTTGTTTTTTTTATTTCCTTTTGTACTTCAGGAGTAAAGTCACTTTTAGGACTACGTGTTGTAGGTGTCAGTAGTTAGCATCCTGTCTCTTTAACTATGATGATCTCAAAGATGATCTTGCCAGCTACTGTACGGGGTTAAAAACACAACAGAAAAAACACTTTTTTGATTGTTGTAGAAACTGTCATGTGATTCCATTTTCCATTGACATGAATTTTGGAGGACACTGGCCTTTGAGATGAACTCTACCATGGGTTTGCACCATGGAAGTTTCCTTAGCAGTTGTGTGTAAATTGAGTTTTTATCAATTAAAATTGAATTATTTAGGTCGCTGATTGCTTTTTTCCCCCTCTTGTCACAAAGTCAGTTCTCTCAGGTCTGTGTTTCACAGATGTCAGTGGTTACCCTCCTGACTCTTCAGCTGTGACTGATGACTAACCATGTGCCCTTTGTCCCTTTGCTCTACAAACAAAACACCATCAACAGAGCCAATGAAGAGATTGCTCAGGTTCGAACAAAAGCAAAGGCTGAGAGTGCAGCTCTCCACGCAGGACTCCGGAAGGAGCAGATGAAGGTGGAGTCCCTGGAAAGGGCCCTTCAGCAGAAGGTACAAAGAGGGGCGTGGCGTGGCCAGAGACGCTTGATGTTTGTCCCTGACAGTGCTTGCAGTGGGTGTGGGCGAAAGAGGCCTTGCCTTTCCCTCAGTCAGTTCATTTCCATCCAGCTCCTTTGTGAACTGACTCTGGGGAGACGAACAAGGCAAACCGCGGGACTCCCAGGCATGCTGGTGGGCGCCGTCCACAGGAGGGGTGCAGAGAGGAAGCTGCATTAACTGGAGATCAGGGACCAAACACTGCTTAGCCCTTCTCTGGGGCTCCCTTTTTAAATTTCTTTTTGTTTTTTAAGTAATATATGAAGCCATCTTCCCTCTTCATTGTAATTTTACCCTCCAGGGGACATTTGGCAACATCTCGAGGTATATTTGGTTGTCTCAAGTAGGAGATGCTACTGGTGTCTAGTGCGTAGGGGCCAGACATGCTCCAAGCACCCTACGGTGCACAGGACAGCCCCACAGCAGATACTGACCCATCCCAAAATGCCACTGGCACATGGTGGTAAGACTGCTGTCAATAAATAGAAATCAGTGGGAACTTTGGTCCCTGTTTCTTGCTGCTCAGCGATTCTAGGACTTCAATTTTTTCATGCCTCTAGTGTTTTTCTTCCTATGTCTCCAATCAGTTAGAACAGGGTGCTTACCATGGGGTCTGATGACCCCTAAATGTTCCCAGGATATAAGGACTCAAGAATCCCAGGTCCCTGGAGATGCTAATGGATCGCGTGAGGCCTGGATACTTGTGTTTTTAATGGGTACTCCAGGTAATTCCTATGGTGACAAGAAAGTCTGAGAACTGAGAGGTTCAGGGACAAGGTGCAGGTGGCCGGCCAGTGGCTACCTTCACCCTCTACTCAATTGAAGCATAACTTTGTCAATACATGAGCATTTTCCAGGGGAGAAGGTACAGAGCTCTCCTTTCTTTGAGGGATCTCTGGTGTAGAAAAGTTCAGAGCTGCTGAGTTAGAGTACAGCCAGTGTTGAGACTATTAGTTGCAGACTATTATCTCAGGACACAAATGACCCGCCCTATCACATCATTTGTCTTTCAGAACCAAGAAATTGAAGAACTGACGAAAATCTGTGATGAGCTGATTGCCAAGCTGGGAAAGACTGACTGAGTTTCCCCAGTAGCTCAGCAGATCTGCATTTGGCTGCTTCTCTCGTGACCACAGTTATCTTGCCTTATCTAGGAATTATTGCCCCTTTGCAGAGGAAAAAACTCTGAAAAAGCACATGCCTACTGCTCCCTGGCCCGCTTAGCTGCTGACATAGCAGCCCTGGAGGAAGCCCTAGAGCATCTCACAGTCACAGACAGAGAGGCATCTGCCAGTCCCGAGTCTTGCCCAACTCGCCATCGATAGGCTCAATTAGGCTGCCAGGTCTGGTTTGTGAGTTCTCCATCTTTAATTCATTTTAAAGCCATCTTTACTTTTCCAAGTGCATTACATTTGTGGTTCTGTGGCAACTGTTTGGGATCATCTCCTGTTCACCACCTGTTCAGTTATATTTTGTGACCTATTTATTTCATCTTTTAAATTTAATTTCCAGTATTAGTAGTTTTATTTGAGTAGGAATTTGGGTTTTGTTACTTCCAATTTATGAACAAGAAGGGACTCTGAGTACCCACATGCACGCACACACTCACGCATATTTAGATATGCTGCTGCTTTTTCCCTGAAGCGTTGTCGAATAGGAACTGCTCTGCAGAAGAGCCTGTTTCCATAAATGTAAAAGCCTGTTTTGAAAGAGTCTTGGCTCCGAATGCCTGTGTCAGAACTTTAGGAGATTGAAGATGTGAAAACCCCAGACTCCTGTCTGTCATGACTCATAGCCCCAGGCTTAGGTTTCACATCTAGGGAAGACTGTGCCATAATGTTTCACTGCCCTGGTATTTGGACCCTGCTCAGCCTCGATGCGTATGAGTGCGGCCCCTTTGGGGTGAGTCCTCAGACTGGAAGCGTCTGCTTGCGCCAGAGCCAGGGCTTGGCAACACTGTCCCAGGGCCATTGCGTCTCCACCGCTTCATTTTTGCTACAAAAGCAGTATTTCCTCTTTATTATTTGAAATATGCCAAGAAAATCTACTAGTAAGAGGTTCAGATGATCTTCTATGATTAAAAGGTAACTGTAACTGCATCGGCAAGTATAAGGTGGAGAAACAGTTGGTTTTTCAAAAGTGGGAATCCTTATTCTTCAGACTTCTTCTTTAAGGCAAAAAAAAAAAAATCCTTTCAAACTTAAGACAGAATTTTTAACTAAACGGGCAGTAAAAATCTTGTGAAAATCCATGCATTTTGAATATTTGTAAGCAAAGGCCATGGGACTAGTGGAGGAGGGGGCTCGGGCCCTCCCAGGACCCGGCCGAGTAGTGGGGCCGGTCCCCCCCAGGGGAAAACTTCCATGCAGCCAGCGAACCCCCTAGCATTTGATAGGCAAAACCAAATCCCTGCTAGTGTTGTTAAGCACTCTTGTCTTAATCTTAACACCCTGAAGGTCTTCATGGTGATATGCACTATATTCAGTATGTGTAAGTTTTCGTACTTTTCCTGTAAAAGTATTGCATGATCCAACTTCAGCAATGAATTGTGCCTAGTGGAGAACCTCTATAGATCTTTCAACATGAATTTTTGTTTAGGAGTCTACTCTTCACATGGGTGCAATCTTTAGCCCCAGGGAGGTCAATAATGTCTTTTAAAGCCAGAAGTCACGTTTTACCAGTATGCACTTACCATAATTGGTGCTTAGGCTGTATTTTAAAGCCTATTGTCTTACCATTTTTTACAAAAAAAAAAAAAAACAGCAGAAATGATCTGTGGTTGGAGGAGTGACTCGACAATCATTTGGACTTTACAGACAGTCACTGTGGGTTAATGCGAGTGCTTGACTGTGGTCTCGGCAGCAGTGAGTGCAGATGTCTCCGGTGGTGTAACTGATTTCTTCGTTTAGTCCTCTTCTACTAGGAAAATTAACCTTGCATTTTGCAGAAAGAAGCATTACTAAAGAAGCATTGCTAAACCCTTTTGCTGCTGTATTTGGGTGACATGTCCATGTTTACTTGTTTTCTACTGATCTGTGTTAAGCATGGAAGGCTTATAGTGGTCTCCATTATTACTCCTAGTTTTCTTTTCAGGCTTTGTCTATATATTTTTTTAAAAAAGGGACCTATGTGTCAAAACAGGTGAAGACAATCCTTCCCTAGCACACTGGTAAAAGAAACCCCTAAAACACTAGCTCCTAGAATGAAGTTGCTGCACAAGGAATACAAGAGAGGGCCCTTGTTAAGGTTTCTTTACCCCAGGCCTCTCAGCTATGGCCATTGCAAGGGTATGTTCTTCCTTCTAATTTAACAGGGGAATCTTCTCCAACAAGAATGAACATGTAGCTTGTGTAGCTGGCAAATCAAGAGAATATACTGGGCAGAATAAAGTTTGTTTGTTTTTCTTTAAAAATAAGCCAACCCTCCCCTCCCCATACTTTTAAAATTCTGGAGAGTAAGACTACAGCCTAGAATTGGCGCCCAGAGCACGTGTGTGTTAGGCAATAATACACCCTGTTACAAACATGAAAACAGATGAATGGGAGTTGCTGGCCTAGATTGTGGTTTGGAAGTATTAGGTGATCTTGCTGAGACTTGGGATCCAGAGCCATTTCTTAAGTTTCCACTTTGCCAGAGTGTAGATAGGCACTCTTTCTCTTAAAGCGTTTTAATTGGAGACTGAACAGTTTGTCACTTGGTTGGCTGGTCAGTTACAGTCAGACCTCCTGATATTGACTATATTAGGAAAAGCTCCTGAAGGCCTGCCCAAACCTTTTGTTCTGGAAGACTGTTCTGGAAAAATTGAGAAGCCCAGTGTTCTCATGTGGTTTCTAGCTGCGTCAGACCCAGCCCAAGTTAGGAAGTGCAGAAACACAGGATGGTACAGAACTCTGAGGGTCTGACTGCCTTCCGGGATGATAGGGAACCTAAGGGAAGATTTATGTTTGGTTTTGGGGGCTTGCTCAAGTTGGCTTTTCTTCCCAGCCAGTTACCCTTTGCACCTGTCCCACGCTTTGTGCAACTCCCGCACGGGTACTCAGCACCCAGATCTTCACTGGGCAGCCCTGAGTCCACGCCGTTTGGGGACAGGATGGGTAAGCTGCCCCGGACAGTCTGCGCTGTCTGAAAGCACCCCGAGGGAAGCGCCCACTCTTACCTTGAGGGCTTGCTGGTGGTTCCGAAGCTCAAAATGGAATTTTTAAAGAGCAAGCATTGGTAGTCTCATGTACACTAGTTAGAAATGACTCAGCACATCCTTTTCTAGTGGCGTGAAATTCTAAAGCTCCCTCTTTATGTCCTTCTGGTTTTTCACTACATTTAGTAGCTGTCTCATTGAACTGCACACGCACGCCTGTCGTCTTTGCGCAGTGGCCGTGCGGGTTTGCTCCGGACGTGGGCGTCTTACTTTACCCTCTTGTTGGAAAGAGAAACTAGGTGTTGAAAGACTAAACGATTCAGGCAAAGGATTTTAAAATAAAGATGTATATATTATGAAGAATTTTAAAGATAACAGATTATTATTTGCTTATTAAAGAACAAATATAGTCTGGGAATCCCAGAATGTCAGGCCAAAGGTCTAAGAAGTCATCTTCCTCAAAGATTTTAATAGAAATATTTTAAGGAGACTTCTGTCCAAAAAGGTTTGACTGGCCTCCAGATCCCTGTGATTTTTAAAAAGCAACTTACCACTCAAACCTTGAGTCTCCCATATAGCAAAGGTAAAAAAGCTGGACACTTCTCTCTTAGGACCTCCTCTGGAAGATAGTATAAATGGCAGCATTTCCAGGGGAGAGCCTCCCAAGTGCCCAGAGCTACCATTCTGGAGACTAAAGATTGCACTTTCGTAGTTCTTCGTCCAAATGCAATCCCATTTCTGTGCCTCTTAGCATGCAGTTAGATTTGGACAAACAAGATTCCTAAGGAATGACTTTATTAACTATAATATGGTTACAGCTATTACATATGTGTGTGTGTATATATATATATATTCTGGTATAGTCCTAATATAGAGATGTTGCGTGTGATGCTGACAGTCTTAACTCATTTGGAGGCAGCCGGGCATGGAGCTGAGGTGTGGCTTGAACCTTCCCTGTATCGATTCTTGAAAACTATAAAGATGCCACTTCCTCTCCCTCTACGCCTTGTAGTGGTATCTGAAATATACTCCAAAAAGTATTTTCCAGTCACATTGTTAACCGATATTCTATATCAATAATTTCCAAGTGGACAAATCTGAACTCAGAAACCACCCCCAGTCCAGATACAGGGCAGTCTGTTACCACACCCGTAGCCTCAGCCTCGGTCCTTCTTCCCCAGTGGGACAGGACCCAGGCACTGCTTTTAAATCTCAGAGGTAGCAGTACATGTTTCAGTGTTGCTGTTAGCAAGTGTGTGTTTGCCAGTAGATAGCGTTTGTACTCATGTGCCAACAAGTAAATGTTAATTGCACATCTGCTTCCACTGTGTCCCACGGGTGCCACGAAGTGTGTGAGGAGCCTCTCGTCTGGAGGGACGGGCGCTGCATTGACTACTGCTATCAGGATTGTGTTGTGTGGAATAATCATCTACATAAATTTTATATGCACAGTGATTTCCCTTTTATATGTCAGGTAAATATTTGTAAAAGTTATACTCACACAAATGAAATTATTATAATGATTACTAATATATTTTTTTCCATGTTTCATTGCCTGAATAAAAACTGTTTACCACTGTTAAATTTGGGTGTGTATATGCATTTTTTTTTCCTGGTTATAGTGGTTTTGTCCCCAAATGAAAATTTATGACAGCTTTGCTTTTATAAGCTCCATATTTCAGTTTAAAAATAGAAAAGATGACATTTTTCGCTGCACTCATTTTGTGGGATTTTATGCATTTGGTTGGGTGTGTAATTAAAAACAAAACAAACAAACTTGAGAACTCAGACCTTACCATATAAATTTCCATGCTTTTGCATCTGTGCAAACAAAGTAATTGGGTGCTTGTTGGTTTTGCTTAGAGACTGCTTGTCTGCCCTGGCATTTTTCAAGTCGTAAGAGCTAAGTCACCCAAGAAGCCAGAGCTGTGTAAACATTGCAGCATGGCCCACAGAAAACAGCTGACGTTTTATGTCTCTTCTAGGTTAATACCAGGAAGAACTTTTTCAGTACTAGCCAGGCCAACTCTCTGCTCAAAGGGCTGGGGGACTGGGCAGGAAATTTTGTAAGTTTTATTACAGGAAAAGATAAGTGGTTCCATTTTACATCCTAGGGGGGGAATCCACTAAGAAAAATCAGCACTGTCGCTTACTGCTTGCCACATCGTAAGACATGATGGCCTTGTGAAGTTCCTGGGTGTGCTGCTGACTGCTGGGGGTCCCTGTAAAGTGGCCGGAAGAGGTGGCGCTACTATTGACTTGAGTGCTGGAGACACTTAGAAAATGATGAACTCTCATCATTTTCGAAGAATTTGGGGGATGAGAAAAATGGAAATTACCATTCTACTCTCTTACAGAATCTTCTTCCTAGAGAGTGAGACCACTTAGTGTTTTTCACACTTTTACAAATAGGAGATCATGGGATCATTGTAGTGAGTGGCAATCAGTATGTTACTAAGAGAAAATAGGACAAATATCAAACACATTGCACAAGTTAAGGATAAGTTATTGCTTCATGAAACTGATTTCAGATATTAATGTGTATGTACTACGTCATGACGAAAAATTAATTTCTTGCTGTGGCCAGTGGTCAAAGCATGAAGAAACTTGACCTAACGTTCATCATTCGACAATTGAGGAGAAAGGCTCAGAGAGAAAAGTGTTGTGGCCAAGATTCCATTGTTTGTATATTAGTGAACATTGTCACCCTCACTCAAAAGGAGCAACAAAGGTAATTGCCACCTCGTCCTTTCCAACCCTGTTAAATCCAATTTCTCCCAGATTTGGATAATACTATATCATTTTCTAAGTTTGTAGGCATTTAAGGACCAATCAAAGCCAAATACCTTGTTGTCTACATTCATTCACTTACCAAATACTTAGTGCATTTTCAGAGTTTAGAAGTAGAACATGCAAAGTTTCTGAAGCTAGTTAGCTGAAGAGAAATTGTTTTCAAGTTTGAAGCATCACTGAAATATGAACAATGTGCTAACTAAAACTTTTCCCCCAGAAGAAAGCCATCACTTCTAGGTTTCTTTGGCCCAGTTGTGACTTGTAGGTTATTTTATGAAAATTGTGTGCTGGAGGATGGGGACACAGCGGTGCTTACAATTTAATTATGAGATAAATCTGACCCCTAGACAGGATAGATGGCGTAGACTTGTTGAGTCATGTGACAGACTAAGGGCTGAAGGAGGAGGAGGGACAGGGTAATAGGAAAGGCCATGCAAACTGGGTAGAGCACCCAGCCGCTCAGAACACACACTCTGGTCTCCGCCTGGCTTCAGATCCCAGCCTCGGTTATTTCTCCTGCCTGGGCTTCGGTTTTCTAACTCTGGTGATAATAGTTCAGCTTTGGAGGTAGCTGTGAGGACTTGGCGATAATGCTCACATAGTGCCTGGCTCCAGGTCCTTAACAAACAACAGTGATTATCATCACCGAAAACCTCCAGTTTATGAAATTTTCAGATTTTCTAAGATTCCCCATTAGAACCAAATGACTATTACTAGTGGGTTTTTTTTTTTTTTTAAGATTTTATTTTTAGACAGAGGGGCAGGGAGGGAGAAAGAGGGGGAGAGAAACATCAATATGTGGTTGTCTCTCGCACACCCCTTACTGAGGACCTAGCCCGCAACCCAGGTATGTGCCGTGCCTGGGAATTGAACCTGCGGCCCCTTTGGTTTGCAGGTCAGCATTCAGTCCACTGAGCCACACCAGCCAGGGCTGTTACTAGTTTTATTAGATATCTAAATATAGAAAAACTTTGGAAATTTAGGAGTTACCTAACTGTATTTTTTTTTATCTGAGATTGGTAGGAGGTGGAGGAGTGGAGGATTAGCTGAAGACAGATCCCCATGTTGGGGTGATTGAGCTGTTAGGAGGGGAATGGAAGCCACTGTGTGTTCCAGGCTGACCCAAGACTCACCAGACCTGTACCAGCCAAGAAAGGTTGCCATGATTTCTATTTTTCCTTTGCCAAAAAGTATACATCCTTCAAAGTTTGGTTCCCATGGGAATACATATGCAAGAACAGACTGAAAATGTAACTCAGTTAACAGAAATTCAATTTTTAGCCAATTTCAAGGAAAGGGTAATTGACATTTGAGTTTCTTATGTGCCAGGTGCCTTTACAAATATGTCACATTAACAATTCTGTGTAGGTGGAACTGGATTTTTTGGTTTGGTCCTTTACCAGTGCAGGGGAAATGAGGCTAAAGCACATGCAACATCCACTAGTTAGCTACACGGGTGGAGCTGGTATGCGGGCCCAGGTCTCACTGACCTCGGATCCCATTCTCCTTAAGGCCGCTCCGTGTTGGGGCATACTTGGGAAGATACACGTGTTCTTCAACAGGGGAAAGGAGGATGTCGTATTCACTAAATGAATTCCCTTGCTCCTTACTTGTCTCAAGTGGAAATATTTCAATGGAATCAGAGAGAACTCTGCAGTCATGTCACCAAAGTTCAGCAGTGTGAAAACCCGAAACCTAGCGAAGAGCCATCATGTTTCTGTATTGGAAAGGCACTGTTAAGGGAAAGCAAAACTCACATTCTTTCCTTTCAGGCCTCCTTGTGTTGCAGAAAGAGCTTTGGCATGGAAGGCTGATACGGGTTCTTGTCCTAGCTTGTGTCAGCTACATTGGGCAGGCCCTTAACGCCCTTATGTGGACTGAGAATAATAGGAGGTCCCTTCCTGTGATTTTGTGATGTTTATGTCTTCCTAGAGTGCTCTCTTTAGGAAGGCAAAAGGTCCCCAGTTTCCCTGTCAAACACCTATCTTGAGATGTAGCTACAAGAGCGGACTTGCCACAAGGTGATGAGTGCACAGGATTTTTGCTGTGTCCGCTGTGGCTCAGAGAGGTGAGTGTCAGCCCACATCACACAGGAGGGGAGAAGGCCTGGGCTTGACTCCCAAACCAACATCCAAGGCCATGCTCTCATTTTCTCAGGACCACGGCTCTGATCTGGGCCTCAGTTTTGCCCGCGTGAGTGAGAGGGTCAGCACAGCTGCGGTAATGACCGCCACTCCTACGACTTACGCTGACACTCAATAATAGGCTCACAGACTCAGTAGTTCAGTTGTATACCCAGCGAGGATGGCCAGCGCGTTTCGTCTGAATTTCTGAAAATAAATTGAAAAAATGTGTTGAGTTCTTAAGATGTGCAAAATCATAATCACAGATAGTCAACAGTGTAGACTCAGAAAGACGTTTTTGTCTTAGACATCAAAAGTGACAGTCCAGTTAGCTAATTTGGTGCATTCAGGCATAATTACAATATGCTACTAAAATCTTACAGTCCAGACAAACAAATCCAGACGTCAGGGTGATATGTAATAATAAATGTGCCTTCTATTTCACCAAAAAAGCTGGCACTTCATGTCATTTGTCTTTTATAAAGTCCTGATTTTTCTAGACACGTTGCTTTCTTTCTCCTTTTTAGTTGATCCTTGTAACTGCACATCACCAATTTTTGACAAAAACAAGACATCTAAAATACGATTTTATTTCCTGCATCAGATTCTGGTGCAAATGTGCATGAATGGTCACTGGAGGGCTCCACTCCCAAGGGCTTCCAGTCCGTGGGGTCAAGTTTTTCAAACTGCTGGTCAAAACCCATTCTAGGGGACGTGAATCAGAAGCGAATAGAAGAGAGCTTGTTTTAAGAATAAATGGTGAAGGTAAGTACCGTTTTGAGAAACTTTTATTTCTCTTACATGTTTATGTGTGTCCTGGGTTGCAATTTGAAATGTCTTCGATTGGAGGCCTGGAAAATTATTTTGAAAAAAGTTTTGGAAGTTTGAAAGCCACTCACTTTAGTTATGGGGAGAGGAGGGTTGTTAAATCAGTCAAAGGTTTTATGAGAGTCAAAAATAATTTAGGATTGCAATCCCCATCTTTTACAAGTAATCTGCAGAGTTAGAACACTTAGTGACCAACAACCGCTGGTCATAGTAACTTGAATATCAACACTTTAGAACAGGAACATGAAGCTGCGTTCAGAAAACAGGACGTAAGGTTTCCTTTCTAAGGCTCGGTTGAGAGGGAAAGAAGAGAAAAGGGCGTTAGGAAGACAGCATATAAAGAATAAAACCCTGTGGAGCTAAAACTCCTCTTAAAAGAGCCTATAAAAAGAAGAAGAAAAGCAAAATTCTCCCTTCCTTTCCCAAGCCCTTTCCCCTCCCTGGGACAGCAGAGGGCGGGCTACTTAGGTTCTGTGCCCGGGCTCTGTTTGGCCAGCGCTGCTACAGATAACCTGACTCAACATTTGGAAAAAAACGAAACCTCCTCTGTTAGAAGCAAGAATTCTCCTTGATGACAAGTCCTCATACTCTCTTGCACAATTCAATTCTAAATTAGAAATGTTTGTATAGGCAGTAAACAAGATTGCCTTATTTAAATCTTAACTGGATTTGGGTGATTTTTCTGTTACCACTACCCCGAGCAACTATTACACAAGTGTCAAATGAGTACATGACTAAGTCACACGGTGTCCATATATTTTCAGAAATGTGATAAAATTGGAAGTTGAATCCGAGAGTTTGAGTTAAGGAAGGAAGCCTAA